CCCTGAGCGGCCGGGTCGTCGTGGGCCGCCCGGCTGATCAGCTCCTCGCCGCGGGCGCAGAGCGCTGAGAAGCTGGGCAGCAGCTTGTCCAGCTCCAGCCCCTGAGCGCGGTGCTCGGCCAGCTGCTCCCGGATCTTGTCCACCTCGGCCGCCACCGGGGGGGGCTGCCGCAGACGCTGCGCCGCCGCCTCCAGCGTCTCCAGCAGCGGGTCCATTTTGTCGTGAAACTGAGGACGGAAGGATGAGCAGAAGCCTTTTATCACCTTTATACACACGCAGCCGAGTCAAACGGTGCAGGAATATCTAAATATATCTATTTACACTGTGTACATTGTACGGTAAAAAAAAAGGCTAATATTGAAGATTGTGGGATAAAAAACTCTAAAAGTTGCACGTTTTAGAGTAAAAAATGTAAAGATTTTGCATTGTAAACAATTTAAATATTGTACATGTATATTGTACATTGTAGAGTTGTAAAAAAAATCTATAAATATAGCATGTTGTTGGGTGGGGTATCATATTTTTTGGTATATTATTTTGTTTTTGGTCTGTTCTGTTGCGCCTCCCTGAGGGCAGCAGGTCAAAGAGCTCAGAGCCGGCTCTCTTTACTGAAGAGGCAGGAGGTGAAAATGTCCATCAAAGAGGGCAGCCAATGATCTTTAGGGCTGACTTTGCTCCTCTGGAGCCTCTGCCAGTCTGCAGCTGAACATACTGTGATGCAGCGTGTCAGCAGGCTCTCGATGGAGGACACTCAAGCTGGAAAAGCTCTGAGAAATTACAGAAATGTGTCCAACAATAACGACTCGTATTCAGCCGCGGATGTTGAAGGTGGATATTTTAGCTCTGGGGTGTCCAACAGCTCAGGGATTCACCCTCTATGCGTCATTTGGACACCAGAGACGGCTTTTACACATTTTGAGGAAGAGCAGATGCTGTTAAACAAATCGAATCTGAAGCCAAAGTGAACGTTTTTGGTCAGAAAACGTTGAAGACGTCATTTAGGTGTGCAGCCTTGCACAGAATGAACAGACCGACCGGTTCAGTCAGGGTCCAAAAACGCTTTAACGGTGTGAAGGGATTCTTCTTTTACTGGTTTGTTTACTGTTCCTGGATATAATAGAGTGCCAGTTTGTGTCTTACCTCCACCAGCTGGGTGAGCAGTGACCATGGAGAAAATGGTGGTGAGGAGCAACACACACAGCACATCCACAATGAACGAGGGATGGGGTGGAGGTTAAGTGGGAGTATGGAGGGGTGGGGGTGGGTTGGGGGGGGGGGGGGGGGTGGAGACAGTGTGGTGGACGTCGTGCAGGTGGAGGAAGAGGAGTGAGACACAGAGTGGTTTGAAGGGGGTGGAGAAACAGCACAGTGAGTTTGGTCAGTCATGCAAACAGTTCAGTACACAGAGCCAGCAGCAACAGTCACGTCTCATGAGATGAGGAGCCAGAAAATGCCTCATTTTAAGCAAAAATCTGCACCCATCCACGCACGGTGGAAAAAGCCAACAAAATACCTGAGAAGATTCGGCTCATTTCTCCATTAACTTTGAACCGTATCGATAAAAATCTGCAGCTAAACGCGTCAGGAGGCTGCAAACGCAGTGTTTAGTAAACACATAAAAACCAGCCTCGTGCTGTTTGGTTACCACCTCAGACTCTTTTTTACTCCTATTCTCTGTAGTGACTGAGCATCTCGGACCACTTCAGGGCCCGTGGGCCGGTGGGGCGTCCGTACCTGGGTCGACTGGGACACCGCCTCGTCCAGGGACGTGGCGCGACCTTTGACCTCCTCCTTGATGGCCAGGTAGCGCCTCTCGGCGTCGGTGTAGCGCTGGATGACGGTGGCCCCCTCCTGGAGGCTGAGCTCGGCCAGCTGGGGGCCGATCTTCAACAGCTTGTCGATGTGCGGTTTGTGCTCTGCGATGGACTCTCTGAGCAGCTGGAGGGGCAGAAACAAAGGTTGTTTATGGGAAAAGGAAGAAGAAGAAAACAAATGACGGCCGCTGTCGAGCAGAACAAAACTACTGAACGACACCAGGAAGTTTATTTTTATAAAACAGACGTTTCAGCACTAATGTTGATCCAGGCCTCTTATTTGGCATTTTCAAGAAAACAGAAAGTGATGTAAAGGTAGAATAATAGGACTCAACTGTTAAACTCAACTCTTAAAATGATGAAACATCCCAGCTTTGTACCAGCACCTGAATGCACCGTCTATCTATTTATTGGTACTTATATGATTCTATTCATATATATATATGTATTGATATTGATGTTATTATATTTATATCTAAATAATATAATCATTCATAGTCATACTATACTAATGATATATTTATAGATATTTATTCATATTTATATCATTCTATTTTCATCTATCCATATAATAAATATCTATATGACTCTAATTCTGTCTGTATAATAGATTATCTATATCTTCTTCATGTGGTCTAAGCCCATGCAGAGCAGCGACTCCCCCCCGTCTCACCCTCATCTGGTCCTGCTGCAGCCGCAGGGCGTCTGTGTCGATGGCGGGCGGCGGGAGCTGCATGATGAGGGCTTCCGTCTCTCCCAGCCAGGGCTCCAGCTCCTCGTGGGTCTCCCAGAAGCGGGCCACCAGGACCTGGGCCTGTTCCAGGGCCGAGAAGCGCTCGCTGTGGCTCTGGCTCACGCCCTCGTAGCGAGCACTCAGGGAGCCCGTCTTCACCTGTGGGGGGAGGGGGACAGCCGGGGTCAGCCGGGGTCAGCATGGGGTCTCCCTGGGGGCCCCTCTGGGCTCCGGTGGGGGGGCGGGTAGTGCGGCACGATTCTATGAAAATGTGCGATTGCGATTATTTTGGACTATATTGCGATTACGATATTATAAATGAAGGGTGTCATGAGTCTGCGTGCTTGAATGTCAAGGACAACACAGAGAATTACAATCATTCGTTTTTCAACTGAAAACATAAAAACATGACACAAAAAAATACAGAACCTGAACAGTATTAAAGCTAGGTGGTCAGTTGACCATACCTGGTCAGGTAACTACCTGCTGCACACAGTGTGGCGTCACCGTGCTCCACCACACGGAAGATAGTCCCGTTCATTTAAATATTTGTGTTGATATGCCTCTATTTTCATCTAGGCTTTGTTTAGTTACTGTATTTTTCTTTTTTTTTTTTTTTTTTTTTTAAGAGAAAATGTCAAAGTCTTTTATGTGATTACATGATTGCACAGCATAACATCGTGATTGCGATTAGATTAATCGTGCAGCACTAGAGGGGGTGGGGGGTGGGGGGGCACTCGCCATCAGGGCGTCCTTCTGGGCGTCGCTGCAGGCCTCCAGGATTTCGTCTCTGCTGGCCAGCAGCTGGTCCACGGCGTCCTTGTGGCGGATGATGTCGATGTTGAAGGCCCTCTGCACCTGCAGCTGGGCCCCCGTCACGTCGGGCTCCAGGCTCAGGGGGCCCAGAGACGCCAGCTTCCGCTCCGTCTCGCCCACCCAGGCCAGCTCCGCGTCCACGGCCTCCTCGTACTAAGGGGAGGAGCTTAGCTTAGAAAACCCTAACCCCACTCCCCGTACTCCCCCGGTGGTGTGGCCGCCCGCAGTACCTGCTGCGACCTCTGGATGGCGGCCTGCACCAGCTGCACCCTCTGGGTGATGGTGTCGTCGGCGTGCCGGTAGCGCTGGTTGGCGTCGGCCACCAGGCGGTCCAGGCCCTCGCGGGCCCGCCAGGGCACCAGGTCCAGCAGGGCGCCGCCCACCTCGTTGAGCGTGTCCAGAACCAGACGCTTCTCTGCAGACAGCTTCTTCAGCTCCTGCCCAGGAGAAACCCCAGAGGTCAGCTCCACCTCCAAACAGCCCGATCCCTCGCACCTCTGCCGCCTCACGCACAACATGGAGGCTAAACGCCACTTGTGGCGGCTAAACGCCATCGATGGGCAGCTAAACACCATCGAGGGGCGACTATACGCCATCGATGGGCGGCTAAATTCCAGGCGACTAAACGCCATCGATGGGTAGCTAAACGCCATTGATGGGCGACAAAACGCCATCGATGGGAAGCTAAACGCCCCCCCCTCCCGTTTCCGTGGCCCCTACAGGCTCCTCCCACCTTCTGCCTCTCCTGGTAGGCGGGCGTGGCGTCGGCCTCCGTTCTGCTGAGCTCCGCCTCCACGCCGTCCAGCCATTGGGCCAGGTCGTCGTGGGCGGCGGCGAAGCGGGTGGCGAGCTGCAGCGCCTGCTCCAGCGTGCGCAGCGCCCGGGCGCTGCCCGCCGTCACCTCCGCGTAGCGCGACTTGATCCCGTCCAGCTTCTCCTGGATGAGCAGCACCTCCTCGCCTGTGGGGGGAGACGGCGGTCAGAGGGTGTGTGAGTCCGTGGCAAGCAAAACGGCGAGCAGAGTGGCGAGCAGAGCGGTGGGCACCTGTGGTCTGCTTCAGAAGAGCCTGGCCGTTCCGGATGGCCTGGTCCACCGTCTTCTTCCTGCTCAGGATCTCCTCGTTGAGGGCCTGAGGGGAGGAAAGGCAGCTCACACCCACTCAAGCGCTTTTTAAGTCAGAAACACTGAAATATGTCCACAGAGGCCTGGAGCCTGGGTGTGTGGTTGGGAGTCTCCTGCTGCCCCGTGTTCCTGCTGGACTCCCTCTGCTGCAACTACAGCTGCTGGTCCTGCCCCGGTTATTACTGTTATCATTAACATCACTATTAGTATCCACCATTTCCCATCCAGCCTACAGCAGCTTTACTGTCTGGATTTGTTACTGTGGATGCTCCCCCTGATCCCAGTCTTTCTCTTGCCCTCTCTCTCTCTCTCTCTCTCTCTC